TTAATCAATGAGCCATCTAGCATTTTTAAACATAAGTACTGTACAGGACACAGATTACAGAACATAAACACTGTTACTTGCAGGGCTGGGGATTTAGCTCAATGGCACAGTGCCTGCCTGGCAAGTGTGAGGTCCTGGGTTCAATTCCCAGTATCCAAAAACAAAAACTTACTTGCAAGCTACCGCTTAATTGGTCATGTGACATTGAAGCTGTTGCTATCAATGAAAAGAACATGAAATTGCTAAACGATGTGATGAAAACCATAACATGTGTAGAGTTTCAGAACAGATTAATGGAAGGCCAAATAGGTCCTTCTTTCTCAAAGTCCTGTTACAATATCTATGAAAACACACAGCAGAAAAGAAAATTTCAGCAGTATTCAATGTTGATGATAAAAATCAGACATGTGCCACCATTCCCCAGAAGTTCTGTAGATTATCAGAATGATGAGTAGATACAGTTTGTATTAGTCATCTGAGTCTCCCATAAAACACCACAGATTAGGTGATTTAAACAACAGATATTTATTTCTGACACTCTGGGGAGTTAGCTGTCCAAGATAAAGGCTTTAGCAGGTTTGGTTTCTTCTGAGACCTTTCTCCTTTACTTGTTAGGTAGCTTTCTTTTTGCTGTGTCCCCCAGGGTCCTGTCTCCTGATCTCTTACAGCCCTGGCGTCTCTCTAACTCTCATCTTACAAAAACATTATACTCAATTAGTATTTCACCTTTATGACTTCTTTAAGCTTTAACTGTTTCCTAAAGACCTTATCTCCAAATATGGTCACCTTAGGGAGCCATACGATTTAGTCCACAAAAAAAATCTCAAGTCACCCTTCAATTTCTTTAGAGGAAACAGACAAGAAAAAAAGGCAATAGGAATCTTATTTTCCTATGGAGAATGAATAGGATACACACCAAGATCTGGATAAAGCATAAATTGATGCAATCTTCCTGGGAATTACCACCAGCACTGTGCTCAAATAATTGTTTTATCAATCTTCTAATGTGGACAAGTTGAATATTCAGAGAACTTGTTAATTTAACAGAACTTGTATCCCCTACAGAATCTTCCTTAAGAAAGCAGCACTAATATTACCTGCCACTCAGAACACGAACATTACTCTGTTATGAGGAAGGGACCATTTCCCTGTTCTTCATTAAAGCGATGTTATACAGCAAAAACTCAGACAGAAGTCTGTGCTCGAAGGAACTGGGGTGAAAGTGATATTTTAAGTGGAAGAAATGTGGAACATTTTATTTGGGATTGAAAGTTACTCTGTTCTTAAAAGTCACAAGTATTAACAACAGCACAACATGAAAAAGGCAAGTGTGGGCAAAGCCTGTAGGCACCCGGAATGTGTGTCTTGCCACATGTGATAGAAAATGAAAAGGCGAAATAGCATTAACAAAACACACACGGAGACATTTGCGCAAACTTTTCATTTCTTTTTATAGTAAAGCAGTTTATAATCCACCTAATTTTATCATTATAATAAACGTCATGGTAGGCTGTTCCCAATCTGTAAAAGCATTGTATACTCCCTCCTCCTCAAAGCATTTTTATTTAGTTACCTAGAACAAAACACACACTTTCTATAAAAGCAATGTTATGAATGGGAACTATTTTCCAAGTCTGTCCCACAAAATCTACTTGGTTGATACTGTATCTGAAATATATGTGCAGTGAGAAAATACAATTACTGAAAATAATGCTGATGAATAAAAGGCATATTATTTCAACTATACTGCGGGTAATTCATGGAAAGTAATCATTATTTAATTGCCTTTGGGGAAAATTATACTGTAAATTATCATCAGGAATATATTGGGAGCACGTCTCTTAGTCTTCCTACCAAATTCAAAGGGTGGTTTAAGACACTTTCTACTACCCTGCTTCAGACACCCTCCGTTTTCACTGCCACTTTGAGAGTTTTTACATCAGGAAGCCACCAGGAACACACACAAATCAGACTATAATTCACACACTTCCACAGGACAAATCTCCAACTGTTTCAAAACACAGATAAACCAAAGCTTAAACGTGCATTCCAGATTTGATGTTACAGTACATGATTAGGATTTATTATGAACATCCCAATGCTCTGAAAGATTCAATCTTATTAAATTCAATGGGCTGCAGACATCAAACACGGAAAACTCTACCAAGCACTGTTTATTAGATATGTAAATACTGAGAAGTGAAGTCAAACAGGAATGCTCTCATGTTAAACCCTTGGAGTAGGAGCTGGGGATATAGCTCAGTGGCATAAGTGCCTGCCTGGCAAATGTAAGGTACTGAGTTCAACTCCCAGTACCAAAACCACCCTCAGAGGATAAGGCTAATTTTGCCATCCTGGCACATAAATGTGCATTTAGTCTTTAGACTATTTCTACTGATGAATTGTTAATTAAACTTTTATGAGTTTTATTATATTAAACAATGAGTACTTAACAGGAAAAAAATCACAAAAATAAAGTATTGAGTTTTTAATGTTTATTGTTTTATAAAAGCATCAAAATTTTCAACATTGACTAGTTTTTGGTATGCAAAGTCTAAAAAAGAATGTCTGGGTTGTTTTTTTTTTTTTTTTCTGGTACTGTGAATTGAACTCACGACCTTGAGCTTGCCGGGCAGGCGCTGTGCCACTGAGCTAAATCTCCAGCAGCCCCCCAAAAAAGA